CTAAACCTCAGTGCCAGCCCCATTGGCTGCCAGGGCCATGAGCACCAGCACAGCTGCCCAGGCAGAGCCAGCCTGAGACATCTCCAGCCTCATCTCACACAGCCTCGTCCTGCTGCTGCTGCTGCACCCACTGCTGCACACTCTGGGCCTCACTGCTGGCACCATGCAGCCCCCTCGCTGCTGCCTCCTCCTCCTCCTCTACCTCTTCCTCCTCTCTGGGACATGGGCAACTCTGGAGGGTAAGTGGGAGCCTTGGCTCATCCACAGCTGCTGCCGTGCCCCCGTGGGACTCCCTGGGCAAGAGGCTTCCTGCTCCACAATCCACTTTTGGCTCTTCCTTCCTCACCCCTCCTTGTTCCCTGGCACCACACCTCCTCCTGGGCAGGGATGCAGCCACCTGGGCTGGGTGCAGGCGGTGGGAACCGGGGCTGCCAAGGCTGTGGGGGCCTAGGGGGGCCCACAGATCACTGCAACCTCAGGGACCTGCCTGGCAGCCCCTCCACTTTCCCTGTGCCTCTCCTCCCACTCCCATCTCCTCCCTGTCAACCCCTTTCTCATGTAGGGACCGTCACTGTCCGACTGCTCCAGACCTCCATCTTCCAAAACACCTCCTTTGTGGAGACAGAGGGGGTGGGCCTGCTGGAAGACATCGAACTTGGTTCTCTTGATAAGCACACCTGGTCCATTCACTTCCACCAGCCCTGGGTGCGTCCAGCCCTGCCCCGCATGGACTGGGACACCATTGACAACATGATCAAGATCTATTTGCAGCAATTCACCCAGCTGGTCAATGAAGGGGCCATGCAGAGGGATGTGCCCTGTGAGTATCCAGTCTTCACTGCCTCCCCTCTCTGAACAGCAGCTGGGGAGTGGGGAAGGCTCTGGCAAGTGCTGGCACTGTAGAGGGGACACTGATCATGTCCACAACAAGCCAATCCCAGCCCCTCATGCAACCTCTCTCTCTCCTCTCTGCCCCTCCAGACCCCTTTGTGGTTCAGTGCATTGCAGGTTGTGAGCTCTACCCCAACAGGACCTCTCGGGCCTTTGGCTATGTAGGCTACAACGGGCAGGATTTCCTCAGCTTTGACACAGACAATATTACCTGGACCCTCTCCCAGGACACCGACCTGTCCCGGTACGTTCTTGCCTTCCTCAAGAACTACACTGCCCTAAGCGAGCTGGTGGAGGTCATCTTCAACGATACCTGTGTCGATGCCATGGAGAGGTTACTGAGCTACGGGAGGGCAGCTCTGGAGAGGCAAGGTGAGACCACCCTGACCCTGCCACGGCCACCCCAAAGCCCTGGGGCCAAGCCCTGCCCAGCCAGGGCTTGCCCCACATCCCCACCCCTTTGCTCCCATCCCCCAGAGGTGCCCGTGGCCACGGTCTTTGCCCGCACGCCCAGCCCACACCAGCTGCTGCTGGTCTGCCATGTCACCGCCTTCTAC